TTACTATTTATGGAATGACTAGGAAATATCACATGACAAAACAATTTTTATTGCATTTTTGATTGGAAATTTTTTCCAAAATTCGTCGTCGTGGCGCAGTAAGTTGCGGGATTAGGTGTCCTGCACTGTATAAAATAAAAGAGAAAAAGGGTAACCTCGTAAGGTATGAATAAAAATAAAATAAAAAAAATTAAAAATAAAAATAAAAATAAAGTAAAGAATAAAGCTACCTCGCAAGGTAATAAAATAATAATAAAAAATAAAAATAAAATAAAAGTAATAAAAAGAATAATAAATGCAAAAAGAAGTTGAAGGAATCCGTAGATTCAATTAAGATTTTCGATTTTTATATCTTCTTTGGTGTAAGTATCCACACAACTCGCACCAAGTTGTCACCGATTAAATTTGGAAGAGCGTATTTTAATTGGTGATAACAATTATTTTTGTTTTTGCGTGGACATTCCAACTCTTCCTTGGATAAATAATGTATAGCTAAATTTTTGTTGATCATCTCTGCAAAATTTTTTTTGGTCACAGACTAAATATTTTTATTGCTAACAACTATTACATAGAACGACAGTTTAAATAATGACACATTATAATCAAGGACAAAGTTACGCAGCTCCATCAAACGTTTATGGCCAACAAGTTTATGGAGGACAACAACAACAATATCATCCTCCACCTCAAAGTAGGCAATTGATTGAATTAGTTGGTTGACTGATTATTAATTCACTAATTCACTAATTTTGTATTTTGATTTCTATATAGGTCAATCTAGTGTTCCTCCATCAGGAGCAGACCCTCAACTAGATTGGAATGACAAAATGGAAATAGAATTTTTCAGAGCAGTGATTAAGTACAGGCCTATTGGTATTATTGTTTTTTTATATTGTCAAGAATTTATAATCCAAAAATATTAATTCATTGGTCATTTATAGGCAAGCATCGACATTTCCGTATGTTGAATGTCGCTAAAGAATTTAATGCAAACAGTCCTATAAAATGTTCTATACCTGAATTATGGGAAAGGCTTCGTTTATACTATAATCTACAGAAACTCGAAGATTTGGTGATTTTTTTCTCTCTTTTTTTTTTTATAGATGATTTTAATTTGTAAACTATACTTATATGTTGTTCTTTAATTTCAAAGGAACATGAAGTTGAATTTCATAACGAAAGTTTATTTTCTGAGTTTAATCTAATCATAAACGATCATGAGAGTTTGGTTCCTAGTGAAAACCGTAAATCAGAATCTTCTCGCGGTGAATCACCTTCTAAAAAAAAACAGATAAGAAAATAAAATCAAATCATAATTATGGATTGTTCTCTTTTTTTTGACAAAATTGAGTTTTTGGATGATTTTTGTTTAAATGATCCATCTGGCAGGATATATATATAATCAATCTTTCATTTGGTTCGCATCCTTTCTTAAACAAAATCTTTTTTTTTGTTTTGTGTTTAAAAAATTCAAAAATTTATTTTTTTACAAAAATGTCATTTATTATATATATTCTCAGTTGTATTTATCAAGAGTGTAAGTGGAGAGAGGGTATATATATATATACAGGATTTGCTTAGAATGGAATAGACAATAATAATGTTGAGATCACGTTTCCAACAAATGGAAACATTACTAAAATAAACATTCAGAAAACCTTGAAATTAAACGGTGTACATGCCTCATGGTATCAATTACCACTGCAGAACTTTTTGCTTTGACGGCTCATAAGTCCCAAAGCCTAACATTGCCACATGTGACTTTGACAGTAGATGAAAATATGCTTGCACCAGGTCAGATCTATATAGCAATGAGTAGGACTTCTTCTTGGGATTCGCCGTCATTATAATCTACGAGAGATCAAAAAACACAGATATTCTTTTGCAACACCTTCTATAACTGCTTTTTTTAGGCTCATCGTCTGAACCTGAAGGCTTGGTCATCAAACAATATTATAAACTCTTATAGGTTTATTGATTCAAAATATAAATGTAAATATATATTAAAACTCCAAGAAAACCAAGAGAAATAAAAAAGCTCAAACTACTAGGAAACCTGATACTGGAGGAACAACCAATGACGTGCTGGTAGATCTAGAAAAACATCGAACGCTGTTCAACCAACTTCAAATACAAAAATGTGGCCAAGCTAGCACAAGCAAAAATAGTTATAAATTCAATGAAATGATCTGCTTTAATCAATTGATTTATGTGTATCAATGTTATAAATAATTTTATTATCATAATCTATGATTGTCTGTAATCATTATAATGTATAAAAATACAAATTTCTTAATAAATTTAATTATAATAATAGTGGCTTTTTTTCAACTTGGAAATTATTATTATTATTTGAGGTAAAGAAAATCTATTCTAAGGAAAAAAAATTAAAGAAGAATTTATATTTCAGGAAGAAGTTCCTTTCGAAGATATACCTGACAAACCACTGGTATCAATTACCACTGCAGAACTTTTTGCTTTGACGGCTCATAAGTCCCAAAGCCTAACATTGCCACATGTGACTTTGACAGTAGATGAAAATATGCTTGCACCAGGTCAGATCTATATAGCAATGAGTAGGACTTCTTCTTGGGATTCGCCGTCATTATAATCTACGAGAGATCAAAAAACACAGATATTCTTTTGCAACACCTTCTATAACTGCTTTTTTTAGGCTCATCGTCTGAACCTGAAGGCTTGGTCATCAAACAATATTATAAACTCTTATAGGTTTATTGATTCAAAATATAAATGTAAATATATATTAAAACTCCAAGAAAACCAAGAGAAATAAAAAAGCTCAAACTACTAGGAAACCTGATACTGGAGGAACAACCAATGACGTGCTGGTAGATCTAGAAAAACATCGAACGCTGTTCAACCAACTTCAAATACAAAAATGTGGCCAAGCTAGCACAAGCAAAAATAGTTATAAATTCAATGAAATGATCTGCTTTAATCAATTGATTTATGTGTATCAATGTTATAAATAATTTTATTATCATAATCTATGATTGTCTGTAATCATTATAATGTATAAAAATACAAATTTCTTAATAAATTTAATTATAATAATAGTGGCTTTTTTTCAACTTGGAAATTATTATTATTATTTGAGGTAAAGAAAATCTATTCTAAGGAAAAAAAATTAAATTAATAATTATAATAATTATAACCTGGAATATCAATTTCTTCATTTCTATTTATTTCTAACATTCTACATAGACTTCTGGCTATATAATGCCATGTAAATGGTCCTAACGTTAAAGTTTTACCAATTTTCCATACAATTTCTTGTTTCCGTTTATATTCTGAATCAGGTATGTTAGTTATTATTTCATTAAGTCTATGCGCATCTTTTCTTCTTACACGTACAATAAATTCATCCCAATCCACATCATCTTCAAATGGCTCAATAATACCATCAGCGATCACAATAGGCACAACACCAAAAGCAAGGTATTCCCATATCCTTGTTGTATCTAACGTCCATCCTGATGGCGCCAAACCATATTTAGAACCTGCCAGTTGTTTTGCGTACTCATCGTTATTAACTCCTTCACCAATATCCCAACCCGATAAATTGTTTAATCCATTAAAGATCAAATGTCTCACACCTTCTGAATAATAATCATTTGGTTTAACATTTGAACAACATCCACGAAATATAACAAGTGTATTACGATTATTGGGATTACCGTCTTCATTAATAAAGTCCAACGGATTGATTTTAAAGGAATTTAATATAGCAGTTGCACTTGGTATAACAACATTCCTATTTCTTCTAAACTCTGACGACTTTACGCTTCTTTTATCACCAATTGTCGTTAAATAAATTGCCGACTGAAATAAATATTTTCTTTCGTAATAATCATCTTGATGATCCATTGGATGAATCAAAAAATGATTTCTACCACTACTCTTATTCCAAAATTTATAATCATTGATTATATGATTCATAAACGGTGAAACGTAATTATCATCAACATTACATCTTAGATTTTGATTCCAATGATTATTGGTCCAGCAATTAAAAAGATAACAACTTCCAAAAAATGGCATGTAGAACGCATCGGCTTCCGTTGCATTTTCTGTTACATAAAGTTTATAAATGTCTGATGATTTATTTGTAAGCTCGTTATATAAAATAATTTCCGAATTATAATTTGAAAATTTGCAATTTGATTGATTGGTTTCATTTATTTGTATATTTGATGGTATTTTATATACATAAATTTTAGGTCTACATATTGCATAACCTACAAAAAAAATCAAACTTTAATAAAATAAAATAATGTTGTCATTATTATTTATTATCTTACGTAGATCAGGAGGCCATACTCTCCATTTATCTTCAATTTGAGGTAAAGGCGATAGGTTAGTGGGGTGGTAAAACGATGGTAAGTTTGTTATTGGATAATAATAATTTAAAAATAATATAAAAATCAAGCTTGCAAACAAAAGTAAAAAAAAATAGTTTCTAATTATAAGTAAACCTGCCATCATGACTGACTGACTCTATTCTATCTTCTATTCTAAAAATCTGTGTAAAAAAACTTAATATTAATATTACACAAGCTCATTTTAGCGATTACCCATCTACTACACTCCCCTATCATAAATATCCGACCACCTGATGATCATTTTAATGTTACATCAAAATTTTTATTGACTGGTAAACATGTTTTTATAAAGTCTCGTCGAGTTTGCATTATTAATGAATTTAGGATAAAAATTTAAATTAGACAAAAAATTCCGTGATTTCTATGAAAACTTTGAGCTTAGTAAAAACCTTCAAAACTCTGTTGAATCATAGATTACGTCATTAAGTAAGTCCACTTAAAATATCTTGAATTATATATGGTTAAAATTTGAGAAAATTTGATCAAGCATAGACAACAAAACGTAAAGCCTTAAAATTTGCATTTTGTCAACTTTATAAGTGTTTTATATATATAATAAAATTATGGGGTGGTCGGATACTTTTTTAAACCCTTTTCACGAACTAATTTATGCCAACACCATATTGTGGATATTTGACCTTTATTATATGTAAAGATTCCGATTGAAAATTTGCTTTTTTGGACTATTTGCTAAATGTTTCCATTAATACCATACCAAACCTTTCGAAGCTTTTGTAATTTAGAGATTTTGATATCAAGTACAAGTCTACTTGGTAAAGTAAAAACGATTTTATTTAAGAAAACGTTACTTTTTTAGTAAGGATTCTTTTCATTGACGTTACACAACTTGGTCGGATACTTATGGTAGGTGAGTGTATATCCATCTCAAGATTTTCAGTAGATCTTGGCGTAATATGGGTAAAAATCGGCATGTTGGAAAGTAAGTTTTGGCCGAGATTAAAATCAACAAGCGCATTAAGATGGTTTTGGGTAACCCACAACAAAATTACAAGATTTGATTTCATTTTTTTTTTAAAAAAAATATGACAGGAGCATCAAAAGAAGTGACAGTACAACAGCAACTTACACCGCTCGGTAATGCAGTAGCTGGCTCTTTGGGAGCCTTATTAGCTCTGACTATAACATATCCTTTGGATATGTAAGTGTTTCATAGTTGTAGTAATTGTCAATTTTTTTTCGTATAACCGTATCTATATACGAATTATATTATTCTTAGTATAAAAACAAGACTCCAAGTACAATCAAAAAATATATCAAGGGCACTATCACATCATGAATATTACGATTCAACATTAGATGCAATAATAAAAATCACATCGAAAGAAGGAATATTTGGATTGTATGCAGGTTTGCCAGCCGGGTTGATTGGAGTAGCATCAACTAATTTTGCATATTTCTACTGGTATTCATTCCTACGTACAAAGTATCAAGTAGCCAAAGGCACCACATCATTATCAACAATGTCCGAGTTATTAGTGGGAGCATTAGCAGGAGCCTTGGCACAAATTTTCACAATACCAGTTTCGGTTATAACTACTAGACAACAAACCACCAATTCCAAAGAACGTAAAGATCTGATAGGAACAGCCAAAGAAATAATTGGCGAGGATGGTGTCAAGGGACTGTGGAAAGGATTGAAACCATCATTAATTTTGTGTGTTAACCCAGCGATAACTTATGGAGCTTTTGAAAGATTTAAAGATATATTGTCGAAACGATTGAATACTAGTACTTTATCACCTGGTATTGTTTTTTGGTTGGGGGCCCTTAGTAAGACTATTGCTACCATCGTAACCTATCCTTACATTATGGCAAAAGTAAGGCTACAATGGAGACCACCCAAGCAGCAGCAGCAGCAGCAACAACAACAACAACAACAACAACAATTAATGGTTGAAGATGATGATTATGATAAGATAGAAGTCGATGATGAAAGGAATTCATTATTTAATAATAATGGTGATGGTAATGGTAATGGTAATAATAGGCATAAAAGAATTGATTATAATATTGTGAAATATAATGGAGCAATTGATGTATTAAAAAAAGTATTAGAAACTGATGGCATCTTGGGTTGGTACAGGGTAAGAATAATTACATTAACTATTATATTATTATTATCATTATCAACGTAATTAATGATTTGTTTAATAAATTTTAGGGAATGCAAGCTCAAATTTCAAAAGCTGTTTTATCACAAGCTTTATTGTTTTATGTAAAAGAGTATACTACAAGATATACAATATTATTATTTGCGTTAATTTCCAGATTAATAGCAAAACGAAGAAGTATCAAAAATTAATTTTATATTTTTTTTAGATGATAATTTTTTTTGGAATTAATTTATCTATTACAAGTGTGAATAAAATTTTGCCTTGTAACTTTTTAATAATCGTGGGTACCTTTGTATTTTTTATCAAAATTGAATTTTATTTATGTTTCAGTACATGTTTGAAATTAATAGTTTACTTTAATTCATAAATTAAAATAATAAAATATATCTTTATTATTTTCTTATTAAAAATATGATATATATATATATATATATAAAATAACCAACTAATGAATGATATGAGTGTATGTGAGAGATAAGATTGGAAAAATAAAAATATTACACAATTACACACGTTATTATTAAGTAAATAAATAAAATTTTTAAGTATTCTTTCATTCGTTAACGATTATTCACCACCAATTCCAAAAACTAAATTTTGTTTAAATATGTATAAATTAATATTTATTAACACGAATAATAACAACAAATGGCTTTAATATTAATTACCTGTTCATAACTAATCATTATCCAACCGTCATTATCAGTATCGAAACGTCGAAAAGAGTCCGTAAGTGTCTTGATGGTAACGCAAGATTGCTACAACAACGACAACAACAATAATATAATTTTTAAAGTAAAATAAAAATAAAATAAAATTCATTATTTTAAATATATAGAATTAACCTACCACGAAATTGTCAAAAGTTACATCTCCCTTTCCTGTTGTGCCAGCTTTTAAATCAGTTAATAATCCATAATAATTTTTTTTATGCATGTTATATAGGGGGACACCTCATACACAAACACTTAATTTTTTTTGAAATTGCTATTTCTAACTTTTTTTTTCATTTGCGTATTTCATTTTTATTGCTCATTCTTTCAAGATAACTATCACTTTCCCACAATAAATCAATAAATAAAGATATATATATATATATAAAAGAAACATACCACGTTTGTCATATTTCTTTATCAAGAGGCTAATGAATTGATCACTCAAATTATATCCAAAGGTTTTCAAGGCAGTTTTCAATTCGGTAAAATTGATAGTACCGGAACCATCGGTATCAAATCTTTGAAAACATTTCTTCCAATCTTCAATATAACGCCAAAGACCAGCGAACTCGGGAAAATTAATCGTACCGGTATTATCTACAATATTACATATATAAATTGTAAAAACGTGGTATAATAAATAAAATGTAAATATATTCATTATAATTATAAAATGTAAAAATGCGCACATACCAGTATCAAACATATTCATCATTAGACGAACAGTCTCGATATTAAAAGGACTCCAATCACCTAATCATCATCACAACAATCATCATTATTATTTAAATAAATAATAAAAGTAATAGTAATAATAATTAGTTATATTTCAGATATTTATTTGTACCATTGATTAAAGCTTTCTGTAATTCTTCGGTGGTCAAAGAACCACTACCATCAGTATCAACTGCTTTAAACCAAAAAAAGAGTTGAGGATCTGCTCCTGGTGGAGGAACACTAGATTGACCTATATAGAAATCGAAATACCAAATTAGTGAAATAGTGAATTAATAATCAGTCAACCAATTAATCAAATGCTCACTTTGAGGTGGAGGATGATATTGTTGTTGTTGCCCCCCTCCATAAACTTGTTGTTGACCATAAGTGTTAGGTGGTGGAGATGAGTAACTTTGTTGACTATTTGGTGGAGGTCTTCCATACTGTCCTTGATTATACTGTGACATTGTTTAACCTGTCGTTTTATGTAATAGTTGTTGTTAAAAGAGCAATAAATACTAGTACCAGTCAGTCCTTACAAAAAATGAACTATAAACAAATGACTAACTAAATATTTATTTTCTTTTGTGACCCAAAAATTTTTTTCAGAGATGATCGACAAAATTTTAGTCAGTTACCAAAAATACATTTTAATGACTATTTATTTTACTATCAAGCTTCAAAAAAAACATTAATCTAACTTGTTAATATTTCACCTACAGTCGTACCTCTTTTATATCCCCACCATTTGTATCCCTTCTTAATCTCCTCGTTTATATCCCACATCTGAACAGTTAAAAATGTCTTTATTCTATACACTCAGTCATATCCCTACAAAATTTGAAAAACATATGAAAAAAAGGGAGAGGCATGACTGTAATATAAAAACATGAATACCATTCATTGAATATATTCGGAACATGCAAAAAAAAAAACGATTGATAGCATAAATTAACAGTATGGTTGAAAGTGACCACACCATTTATGGAAAAATCATACTCGAGTGGTGTTACAAGAAGATTTATTTTATCTAATTATACGTGATTAAATGAAAATTGCTTTGGCGAATATTAATTTTATTTCTCTCTCTGTTTCTCAGTTAAGGAGGACAAAGCCGAAATAAAATTTGTTTTGTATAATGAATTTTTTGATTAACTAGTTAATTTTCATAATGACACAAAAACAATAAAGTAATCAATATAATGAATAAATAAATATAGTTAATGTCTCAATTTTATTTTTCGTAAATTACTACGTACTATATGGGGCATGCTTAAGGTTGTGGGCGAAACCTCTTAATGACTGTCGAAACTCTGTCGAAACTCTAATGAACAATTAATGTGTAACCTGTCGAAACTCTGATGATTGGCAAAAACCCCAAATGCGAAACTCTGCCGAAACTCTAATAAACAATTAATGTGTAACCTGTCGAAACTCTGTCAATTGATTTCTGGAGGAGTTTCTCCCACAACCTTAGGCATGCTGCAACAAAACCAGACAAAGTGAACATTGATATTACCAAGGATTTCAGGGAGTCATTATTATTCATGGGGGTAGTCACTTAAATTTGTTGAAAAAAAGCCTGTTGAAATGATTGTTGACTGTACTAAAGATTCAAATGATCTATTGTAAATTTATCAAATAAATTACTTGGAAAGTCAATCACTTTAATTTATTATTATTAAATATATTTTTATTTTAACTTTTTTCTACAGAAATTACTTGTTAAATATTAAATTATAATAACAATAATTTATACATATCCATTTATTTATGATTGATTACAATCAACCACTAGAGCAAGAAGTGATATCTGTAAATTGATTAAAAAAAAATTTTTTCATGTTTAATATACTATATATATTATGTATGTAATAATGTATACATTGTTATTTTACTATACATGCACCCCAAATTGGTTTGGTGATTTTGATGGTCAAAATTATTCCAATTTTGATGGTAGAAAGTATAAATTAATTATGGCATTCACTATTAAAAACATAAGTGTAATACTCCTTTACTACATGTGTAACCCCCTTTATGACAGTGTCAAAATACTTTGGGCTGCATGTATATATTTTACCTTATGCTTTACCCATTGAATAGTCTGAAGGATTCTTTTTTCATTTTAAAGTTTATTGATTTAAAAATCAATTAACATTTTCACCATTATCACATTTTTTCCTTCTTTTATACCTTTGTACAGTCACCACGAATATATCTTCTGATGATGAGTATCCAGAAGATTCTTCTCTGCTTTCAACAATCTGAAGATTTTTTGTTTGATTTATATTCTCTTTATCCAGATTGTCTATTAATTTGTAGGGTTTTTATTCATGAATATCATGAATATAATTAAGAGGCTACACACTATTAAAACACCAAAAAATCCCTTAATAGTTGTGGGACATTGCAAATCAAGTGTCATTCAATATAAACATTACACGAAAAAATTTATTGTCATCCACTTCAAAAAAAAAAATCTCCGTTTTTCATGTAACAAGCAACTTTCAACCATAATAAATTTTTTAGAGCCAGACTGGGGCTTTTAACAACAGTTAAAAGAAAAGACTAGCTTAAATATTGGTTGTTCTACGCCAGGTCAAAAGCGTTTCTTTTCTTCACACTTATTTTAAGATTATCGCTCAACTAGTATGCAGACTAAAGCAAATTCAGCAGCAACAGTTGTGCCAAAGTGTTCCCTACAAAGTCGCTTATAACTACTTGGAAGGTTGTGTTAGAAAAATTTTGCTTTTAATTATAAGGGACTGATTTATAAGGTTATTAATTTATTTAGAATTTTAAAATTACATGGTCAAAATTTCAAAATAATAATAATAGTATTGACAATTTTCGTAATGTTACACATATTAATTTACATTTGACCCCCAGAAATTAAGCAGTGTCCTTTGACTAGTATATACATATTTGCATAATCTACCAAGTGTTGCATAATTTAATGTTTGTTGCCACATAATAAATCAATTATTCAAAGTTTTGATCTCGATTTAGCGGATAAATTTCCTGGCATAATGATAATATATTCCATGATTTCTGCGGCATTCTGCACTATGTAGAAAATCATTGGTCCCAATGTTGAAAATTAAGTTGGCGAATAAGTGATTGCGGAGGAGTATTGGATGTACTGGTTGAGTCAGTATATCAGTCTATCAGTCCCAAATTTGTATCACACAAAAAGTAAAGTAAGTATCCATTTTTTATTTGCTGAACATTTGGGGCATGGACAATAGAAAGGGACCAAACGTCAAAAATCATGATTTTGAGAAAATCGGAAAAAAAGATCTACATTTCAAGTAATTTACAATTGTTTTTAAAAACTTTAACAGAAAATATCTCAAAATTTTATTAAGTAATGTGGGTATTGTTTCTAAGCTAAAATTAATCCTTGTAGCGAATTACATATAAGAATGTCATTAACTCAAAATCATGATTTTTGATGTTTGGTCCCTTTCTATTGTCCATGCCCCATTTATGGACATGTTATCTTGGAAAAGAAAATTTTCAACCAGTTAATTTGCCCCAGATCTATATGTCTACTTCTGACCATGGATCATGAATCAAATATTTTTATTAGATAGGATTCGAAATAATAAAAACTAAAACATTACAGACATGAGGATTGAAAATAAATATGCATTTCTAATAGAAAATTTCAACTTGAAATATAATTTTATGATTTAATTTTTCTTTAATTTTTCTGTCAAGTCTGGAACAGCTGTAAATAAATCTGCAACTAGGCCCAAATCAGCAATCTATTAAAAAAATTAATTTTAAATATATATAGCTAATTTAAATGGAAATAATAACAAACAATGATAGTATATATTTAAAATACCTGAAAGATTGGTGCTTCTGGGTCTGTATTTATAGCTGCTATTATTTTACTATCCTTCATACCAGCTATATGTTGTATAGCTCCACTAATACCAACTGCCAAATAAAAATCTGGTGCAACAACCTTTCCTGTTTGTCCAACCTAAAATCATATTGGAGATCATATTAATGCTTGCCTATGTTAACTGTAATAGTTGCTAACATCTTAAAAACCTACCTGCAATGCATTATCACAATATCCCGAATCCACTGCAGCTCTGGAACCACCAACTAAACACATAAAAATAATCATTATTATTACTAATATTACTTATTATTGCAATCTTTAAATCTAACAAAAAAAATTTCCATACCAGCAGCACCAAGAGCATCTGCAAGGTTATAAACAAGTTTATCAAAATTTTCACGACTTTTCAATGCTCTACCACCTGATACAACTTTGGTTGCAGAGTCAAGTTCAGGTCGATCACTTTTTTGAATTTGTTCACTGATCCATTCTGTAAGAGTTGGTTTTTCTGCTTCAGGTGCAGCCTCAGTTACAACTGATGATGCATCAGTACTACCAGCTGTAGCAGGTGGAAAAGCAGTTCCACGAACTGTTAGAATTTTTATAGGATCTTTTGATTTTACAGTTGCAATGGCATTTCCAGCATAAATTGGTCTAACAAAAACGTCGGAACCTTGAATATCAATTATATCAGATATTTGAGCGACATCTAATATTGCAGCAACTCTGGGGAATATATTTTTACCAAATGCTGAATGTGATGTTATCAAATGTGTAAATTTTAAATTTTTTTGTGCATTGACTAACAATGGTGCATAGACTTCTGCAATTCCGTGCTCGTATGCTTTATCTTTTGCTACAAGAATTTTGGAAATTCCTTGAAGCCCTGCAACTTGTGATGCAACAGTTGTTGGATCTTCGCCTGCAACAAGAGCTGTCACACTTCCACCAAGCTTATTGGCAGCCGTCAAAGCATTTAGTGTAGATGGTGATATCTTTTTATTTTTATGCTCTACAAGAAGCAAAGTTGAAATATCTTGAGCAGCCGCATATCCTCTAATTAAAAGACTTTGGTAAGTCTGATTTAATAAAATAATTATCAATTATTTGTTTATTTAAAAAATAAAATTTAAGATTATTATCGTTATTATTTACCTTCTTGGTGATGTTAATTCTTGTTGCTCTTTTAAGTCCAAACATTTTTTTTTTTTTTGATTTTCTGATCGGACAAAATAGTGTTAGTGTACATTTATTAATGTGTGTAACATGATTTAAATATAATAAATATATAGAAAATAAAAAAATCATATCGCGTCGATAAAATAAATAAAAAATTTTTTTTTCAATTTTCTAATAATATTAGTAGTAGTAGAAGTCATCTAATTTATTTTCTTTTAAGGTCACAATTAAGACAATAGGTTTAGTGGACGAAAACAGTTTGAAACAATGGCTGAACAAAACACTTCTGCAAGTGGGAAAAAGAAACTAGTTGTTGATCGTGAAAAGGTATTTAATTAATCAGTTGATTTTTGGTTGATCTTTTTGTTGCTCTCTAATTCATTGACAATTTATTTAAATCGTCTTTTTCTTTAGACTGTACCATTTTTATTGAGAATGTTTTGTAGACCAAGTTACCATCACAGGTAACCAACTCTTGATTTTTTATTATTTTGAAGTTTAGAAGTTGTCTTTGTAATAAATTATTGAATCTTTACAATAGACCTGATGACTACACGCCCGAGCGTCTTCCTATAGATGACGAAGTACAAATATATACATGGTATAAATATTATATACAGAAATGATATTATTTATTGTGAATTTTTATAATCATCATAATAATAATTACCAATTTCACTATTAATATCATGAAAATAGGAAGGATGCAACTTTGAAAGAGATAGCTAATCTTATAAAAGAAGTAAATCAAGATGCTAATCGACCAAATGCACGCCTGTCATTTAATTTAGTATATATTGACAATTTACGTGGTAGATATATGTTTAAAGATCTTGGAATTGTACATAATTCAACTTCAAGTACTGATGATGATATAAATCTTGATGATGCAAGATTTGTTATTGGTGATTTTTTGGATGTAGCAATTTTTCATGGGGCACCACCTGCTAGAATCATAGAAAGACGTGGAAGTTTAAGGGATAGAAATAGAGATCATGATAGAGATCGTGGTGGTGGGGATCGTGGTGGAGGTGGTGGTGTTGGTAGAAATTTCCGTACAGGAATTGGTATTGATAGAGATCATCGTGATAGAGAAAGAAATCGTGACTCCGAAAGAGATCGTGATCGTGATAGAGATGGATTAAAGATTGATAGAAGGGATGATAGAAGAGATGATAGAAGAGATGATAGAAGAGATGGAGGAAGAAATTTTAGAGATAGAAGAAGATGAAAATACACGCACACAAAAAAATTTCCAAGGTAAATTTATTATTTTATTTAATTAATTCCAACAAATATGATATATAATAAGTCATAATAAATTTTGAAATAAATCTGATATTTTTCATCAATTCATTCACATATACATACGCATTTATAATAACAAAGTTGAAATAATATTTCATAATAAAAAAAATTTTGGATCAATATGTATATTGTGAATCCATAACACAAAGTGGATAGACTATAACATATTCACATAGAAACATAATCGTTACACTGCATAATCACTTCTTAACACATGAATCTAAAGTGTATTATTTTTATCTTTACACTATTGTTCAATATAAAATAAACTTCATTTCTAAAAATAAATTTTTTTAAAAAATTTTTGAAAATATGTTGAATGCTCCAAATTCTAATAATGAAAAAGAAGGACGTCGCATTCATACCTTGTCTACTGTGGTATTTATCATCTAACGTTTTATTTTTTGAATGGTTTATTTACTTGTATATATATATATTCCGTATGATAAATGATAATATTATCGCTATTATTATTACTTAAAGGATTTTCAGAGTGCAAGTTCAGGCGTTGCGGCCAAAACTATGCGTTCTGAACTTCAGAAAATGGCACTTTCGATTCAAGATATGAAAGCTCGAAGAGTATTTAATGATTTTCTTGAAATTTATTGAAACTTTACACTTATATTATGAATATTTTTAACTTGATGAGTTTTATTTAGGCCTTTCAAAACGAAATGGATAATTTCTATTTACTATTCACTCGTTATTTGAGTGATAAATCAAAGGGAACCAAATTGTAAGCTTTCTTGATCCATTCCATTCCAATTTTATTTATTTTGCACAATCAACATATTTACATATAAACTGCTTTACACATATACGAAAACACTATATATAATCCTGATCAATAAAAAGAGATTGGGATAAGGTAAAACAACCTAGCCCCGAACAAATTATTCCTTATAAGAATTTATCACCGGTTTGTGAAAATACTGAAAGTCTCAATAAATTAGCCGTACTTAAACTTAATGGTGGCCTTGGAACAACCATGGGTTGTATTGGTCCCAAAAGTGCAATTGAAGTAAGAGATAATATGACATTCTTGGATTTAAGCGTTAGACAAATTGAGGTTTGTAATCAATTTTGCAATTAATTTTAATTCTGAAAAATTTGAAGAAAAAATTCATATACATGTATTTTTTTTTTGTAAAAAATTATAATAATAGTATTTCAATAGTAATTACAATGTCAATGTACCATTCATACTTATGAATTCTTTTAATACGGACGATGAAACTAAACGAATCATTCAAAAATATAGTAGTCATAAAATTGACATTCTCACCTTTAATCAATCAAGATACCCAAGGATCAATAAAGAATCTTTATTACCCATGCCAAGATATACAAATGGAGATATAAGCCAATGGTGAGATTTTAAAATTGTACTTGCAACTTGCTATTTTTTTTATTTAGTTGTTTTTTCTTTATAATGATAAAATATAAAATAAATGAATTTAGGTATCCACCAGGTCATGGCGATTTATTTGAATCAATGGCTAACTCGGGAATATTAGATCAATTGATAGCTGATGGAAAAGAATATCTTTTTGTGTCCAATGTTGACAATCTGGGTGCTGTTGTTGACTTAAAAATTCTTCAACACTTTGTAGAATCAGGAGCCGAATTTCTGATGGAAGTTACTGATAAAACTAAAGCAGACATTAAAGGAGGTACATTGATAGATTATGAAGGAAATATTAGATTGTTGGAGGTTGCACAAGTACCGGCCGAGTATATGGAAGAATTCAAATCTATAAAAAAATTCAAGATTTTCAATACGAACAATTTATGGATTAATTTGAAAGCGGTGGCTAAACGTATTTCCGATGAAAAGAAATTAGATTTGGACGTGATTTATAATAGTAAGACACTCGAATCTGGAGAAAAGGTTATACAGTTGGAAACAGCCGTCGGTGCAGCTATTAAACATTTCAAAAATGCTCATGGAATTAATGTCCCGAGAAGTCGTTTCCTACCTGTAAAATCTACTTCTGATTTGTTTCTGGTCACATCAGATTTATATTCACTCCATCACGGCGAACTTGTAATGAATCCAAAACGTCTTTTCCAAACCGTTCCTTTGGTTAAGTTAGGTGACGAGTTTAAAAAGGTATGTAAACATAATAATAATAATAATAATAATAATAATAATAATTATTATTATTATTGATTATTAATTATTGATAAAAAATTTATATTTATATGTAAAATTTCAATGCAATTATTAGGTTTCAAATTTTCTGGCTCGTTTCCAATCACCACCACATATCCTTGAACTTGATCATTTAACGGTTACAGGTGATGTGACATTTGGCTCTGGTGTACAACTCAAAGGGACTGTTATTATTGTTGCTAATCATGGTGCTAGGATTGATATCCCATCACAAGCTGTATTAGAAAATAAAGTGGTTTCTGGAAATTTAAGGTATTAATTAAAAAAATCTCTTTTTCGTTACCTCCGTAAAAATATTTACAGTAATTATTTATCAATAAATTTTAATCATTTTTTTTATTTCATATAATTATAGGATTCTTGATCATTAAAGTCTTTTAATGAATATGGTTATGTATAAATTCAATTTACATAACGGTAATGGTTCTTGCTACACACTAAAATTTATTATTAATCTAATATTATTTATACATATGTATATATATATATTTGAATTAATAGAATGATTTAATTAACTTATTAGTGAAAACAAAATTTGTTCTATTTCTATATAACAGGAATAAAAGATTCTGTAATACCTATATAGACAAAAGTACTTGATCACATGTTTACACTAATTAGTAAAAAATCTACATATCAATATCACAAAAAATTTTCATGTTGCTAGCTTTCATGTATCAACTTAATAAAAAAGTTTTATATTTTTCATGATCATCAAAATTGAAATTATTTATTAAATAAAAATTCAGTGTCTTGTTGATGTTATTTTCTAGACATAATAGAAATATAAAATTTCATGTATTTATTCTTCAAAACAATAGCCTTCATTTATATAAAATTTACCATTTTTTATTATATAAAATTTTTTAAAAAACGTGAAAATATAGTGAAATGTTTTATTAATCTTGATACATGAAGCAACGTGAAATTTTGAATATATATTATTTATCAAAAATTTTGTGTGATATTGTTATGTAGATTTTTACTAATTAGTGTAAACATGTGATCAAATACTTTTGTCTAGGTAATGTGTATACAACCTTCTTTAATATATCGTGCGTAATTAAGAAAGTTGACACATCTTCTTTGATTATAATAAAACGAACTAAGGAAGACTAGTTACAATTTTGTTAATAAATATTTTTCTTTTTTTAGTGGTATGAAATTTTAATTTAAATAAATAAATAAAAATACAAAGGTATTAATTAATATGCGGAAAAAATAATAGATAATAAAACTAAATCATTCAAATATATTAAATCCTTTTTAGTCGCTTCAACACATTCAAGAACCTTTCAAAATAAGTTTCAGAGTATGATGAAAAATAAAACTTTATGATAGAAGATAGAAAATATAATTAGTATAGAGACAAATATTTATAAGAAAAATAAAAGTTTGAATTTAAATTCTTACCTCATGCTGTGAATTATGTTGAGTTACAAAATTATGAGCTAATTCATGACAAAATGTCATATACCAGTAAACCATTGTTTCAATTGAAAATTGTAAATTTTCAGAATCATGTAAAGCAATGTAAAATTTAAAATTAAAAAACAATGAATTGTTCCGATTAAAGGCGATAGAATCAGCGGCAGGATCATAAAATACATGGACTGCTTTTTGATGTAGTCCAAAAACATCACAGAGATACTTGAGAACTTGAATAAAACGTCTTAAAGGGCCTAGTGCAGTTGGAGATAAAAGTGCCGTCTGATCCAAGTTTTTGCCAATATATAATTCTATCCCGTTTTCCATTCCGATAAATTTTAATGAGTGACCTATTATTGAAAATTTTGATGGAAAGAAAAATCTTAAGCTTGGTATACAATAGAAAAAATCAATTTATCTATCTATCTTACCTGGCATAACATCACAATAACTCGATTGACTTTCTGAAACAATATTCACTTTAGCTTGACTGTCAACCGCCGAGCCTGAATTTGAGCGACATGAATTTACGGCCTCATTCAATGTCCTTTTCAAATCCTCGGTAGTATTTCGCGATACCAGTACGGGAGGCTTATCAGCATGTGATTTAGACACACCAGGTGAAACATATTCCGTCAAATTTTTAAAAATGTTCCAAGGCGACGAACCTTCTTGATCATTTCTAATACCCGATTGTTTTTTTGGATAGTCTTGTTCGGCTAATTTGTTTGCAACTTTCATCAAGTGGTCTGAATTTTCTTGTGCAAGACATGATTTTATATAATTAGGGTCGCATTCAGGAAACGTACTCTGTAGCTGCTTAGAATAGTTTTCTAGTTCAGCAATATTTAGTTGACCCCGGTTTGTATTATAATTATTGGGTGTCATTTGTTCATCAATTCGAGGTCTTTTAGGATTATCCGAATTTTCAACAACACGTCTAAAACTTTTTTGTTGACTCATTATACGTTCTACGGGGAATCCTTTACGTTTGAGGGCATTGAGTGGCATCATTAATAACATGCTTATAAGGGTGGCTTCTTTTAATTGTGGTTTTTTATAAATGTATTGTGAAATCATTGATGCAATATCAAGCGTATCTAATTCACCGTGTTTAATATATAGTGTCCAGTCGTTCTTCCAACTGTCGTGTGAAATAACACAAGTATTTGAATGTTCGATTTTTGTTATATTATTTGGAGCCAGAACATAGGTTGTCTCAATCTGATCAACCCCCAACACGTTCAATTTTTTTACCCAACTTTCATTATTAACAATATCGGCCTTACGAACCTCATGGAAAAACAACGGTGAACGTTCTTTAATCAAATTCTGTAATTCTTTAGATTTTTGAGTAACCTTTGGTACTCCTTTAATATTAGGCGAAGACTTGACACTATTGGTTAATAACGGACATCCCAAACCCTTTTCAGAAAAAACTATTCGTTAATTAATTTATAATATAATAATTAATTAAATAAACGAATCTATAACCGAAATACATTACCATATAGAAATTTTCTAAATATTGGTCCATAGGACAAATTAGTGGTTCAAAAATATCTTGGTATATCGCATTATCATTTATATAAATCTCATTTGGAGTTGCTAATACATATCTTTCGACTTGATTTAATGAATTATCGGCTTCATTTTTGCCAACAACCGCCTTGTCTTTATTTTTTCCTTCCTCGGATTGTTTTTTAGTCATACCTAGCAAAATCGGATATCTTTTCATATTATTTAATAATTTCTGATTTCTTTGGATCGAATGAAATTCTACAGCAATTCTATGTAGTACGGCCAAATACTTTTCAATATTATCACCGACACTTTTCAAAAAGTCATGTGAAGAGTTTATTAAAAATTCGGCCAACTCGATTGGAGAAGGTTCATTTTTAACACCACAACTTTGTAAAAATTTATTTGCCTTCTCACCAAAATCGATATAATAAAAAAAGCCTGCAAAACTGAATTGTTTTAAAAGAGAAAAAAATATAATTATTATTTTTATATTTAAAAAAAAAATGAGATATTTATAAGATTAATAATACCTTTCTTCCGAACTTTTAAAAAAACAGTTTTGTGGTGAACCATATTTTAATACGTTCGATTGCTTCTTTTCACGGATTGGGATAAAAGCTAATTGACTTAAACTAAGCCAATCTGGGTGTATAAAGTGATTTTGAAATGAAGACAAATAGCTAAAAACTAATTTTGCTTTTTCCTCGTTTTCTGGTGGTTCTTTCCTTAATTTCTCTAATACTTGTAAACGATCAGGATTTTGTTTTATACCAAATTCTTCGGCTTTGTGACGCAATTCTCTATGTAAAACATTGAATTTCATAATGGCACATTCGGGGTTTGAATAACATTCGGAAGGTGTTGCGTAAACATTTGGGTCGGCAGAACATGGGAGAAATGCAAATTTTACCAGTTCTGGTTTGTAATCCTTCGAATATTTTTCTTTGAAATTTTCTATAAAGTATTTAAGTGCCTTTTGTCGAACCGGAAGTGGTGTAGTTGATGACGCCAGTTGAAGTATTACATCGATTGGTGGAAAATCCCGTAAACCAAGCTGTAGAATAAAATTAACTAAAAATAACATAAATAATTATTATAAATATGAAAGAAATAAACAAAGCAATAATAGAAATAAAATCATGAATAAATCGAATTTACCTTCTTTCATATTTTTACGCCATTTACCATTCCATTCAATTATTGGTAAGCCAAATTCACGTAATTGTGGTAATGGTGCATATAAGTCTTTTGCTGTAAATCTTTGAATTTTAACTTTTGTGTTATCATCATTATTATCATTATCACTTTTTTCTTTATTTGTATTAGATTCCTTTGGCCAAATAGGTGTGACCGCCAATCTTTTTATCTCAATATCTTTAAGATTATTTATGGCAAGATATTTAATTAATTGCATATGATCCCAACTTCCTTGACAAATTAATCGATCAAATATAAGTTGCAATTCAACATGCTAAATTAATTATCCATTTAATTAGTTAATTAGCTAATGTGATATATAGCTTATGACAAATAATAATAAACATTACAATTACCTTTCTAACTCCCAAGAATAAAAGAATATCATCATTTATTTTATGTTGAAATTTTATAATAGGCAAATCAGGGAATAAATTGACACTTGGAAAATAGGACTCGTCGGGTACTTTCATGCCAAATGTAGTCGGTATGCAATTTTTTTGAAATAGCAATTGTTTGATGGTTTCTTGATCCGTTTTAGAGATGCTTTTAAAATGACGCGAAACTATCCCAAAGAACTTTTCTGAAAAAGCAGGGTCTTGTTCTAATAAAGGTTTTGAAGATATAAATTGAACCCAAGCAACCAATGTAAGCTCTATCCAACCTCTAATAAAAATAAATAAATTAAAATAAAATAATAATTAAAATATATTAGCAATTATTATAAAGATTTATTATTGTTGTTTTTAAATCCCCTCCTCATTCATTCACTTACCTAAAATAGATTTCGAAATCTTTTTTATTAAGATGTTTACTTATCGAATATGGTAAGACACTTGATGGAAGGTCTACGTCAGGTGGAATTATAGATGGATTTATAAAGTAGGAAATGCAATTAAGGGGTAAGTCAACATCTTTAACTCGTACTATAACTAGTCTCATAAAATTTTGAATTTGATCTTCTGTGACTAAGTTTTTAGAACGATAATTTATCCACCATTTAAATAAACTTATTATCTCCTGTTCGTTTAATATTCGACTTTCCAATTCCACAAAGAGATCATCTAACGAGATTTCAGAAATAAATCTTAGTGTATCTTTTGCCTTTTTAAAAAATTCATCACATTGACTTAACAATAATGGTGCAACAGTAGGAATTGTCTTTATAAAAGGTGACATTTCTGGATTTGGTATCCGTACAGATTTAATTGGTAAAACGCCACGGCTAGATAATATTGATAGTGAAGCTTGCGTACAGTTAAAAAATTGTGATTCGCTGATTCTTGAAATCATATTGTTAGGTGTGCTTAGCTTGAATGAAAAATGAGCTAAAGCGTGTGCAGCACGACTTTGAAAATACTCAAAAGCTGATTTTATTGGCTCGTCATCTGATTTTGATGTACCAGAACCAATAATCTCTCTATATAGTTTTGAAACTTGCGACAGCTCATCATCGTATATTATACGAGCCAATACTCCAGCCAAACATAACATTCCTTTATTATAGACTGCCAAAGTTTTGTCTACCAAATCTACAGATTCACGTTCAACCTATAATTTTTACAAATACAATCAATACATATTCATTTATTTAAATATTTACATATGTAAATTAGAAATATTCACTTACTGTAGGAATTACTCTGGCAGCCAAATGTGCAGAACAACCTGTTGTTTGATGAGTTGGGAATCCTATAAATATTCTACCTTGTCCAGGAAATGGTAATAAATCCTTGAATACTTCTGAAATTTTTTTATCGTAATCACCGGAGGAATTATGTTCGTCAAAACCAGTAAAAATCATTTGTATTTTGGTATTCTTTGGTGGTCTTTTTTTGGTAGATCGTTCCATTTCTAGACTAAATGCTTCAGGAATATATAAATCCAAGTTACCACTGGCAATTCTCAAGAAAATGGTCGTTTGTTCTGATGAAAATGAAGTTATTGGAGTTCTTGACTTTAATAATTTTGTTGGGGTGACTAATCTGTTAACGTCTAATTGTACTGTAAAAATGTCTACAGTTTTCAATTTGAACATATTGTCTGGCGAAGTTGTATTTATTCCAGAATCAATTGACATTGATCGTGATACACTCGTTTTTTTTGTTAATTGAATTACTCGTATTTCATTGAAGTAAACTGTAACCTCACGAAGATTTCCAGTAAAACCCTAATTATATAACAGCATTACCAATATTACAATAAAATATCTATATTTAAAATGGATATACAAGAAAGCTTTACTTTAAAATATTGATTTAGATATAAATTGTTACCAATGAAGTTGCTAAAAAGCGACCAAAAGATTCTATCTCAGGTAACTAAAAAAAATAATAATATGAAATTTAAGTATTTTTATGGACATCTATTTATATTAAAAAAATTAAAGAAAAAAAAACAAATTTACCTTTTCTTTTTCTCGTGTGTCCATCAAAAAAGTTGTCCAAGTTGTATCATCTTGTTTGATATTACTTCGTTTGGCGAACAGTTGATCACCACGCCAATAAAAAGCCATACCTTGAGTACCCGACGATACACTACAAAATATAATGATAAAATGAATGTGTTAAATGATTATATCATTAAATAACATATTTATTGTATACATTCACTATCCATTTATATATTTATTCATATACATAAACAAATAATATATTTACAAAGGAGCATCACAGACTGAAAACAATGAATAAAACCCAACACCGAAGGCGCCGATCTAATAATTTATTTACAAATAAAAAATAAGTAAAAATTACAAACGAAATTCATATGCATAAAAATAATTTAAATTATTTGATCAAACCTTTTGTTCATCAGGATTCCCTTCGGCGATTTTCTTCAATCTATTCCAATCTTCAGACCGAAATACAAAGCCGTTGTTTTTAAATATTATTCTGACACATTTTTCTGATAAACAGATATTATTATCACTGTTTGGTGTATATTTTTCGGTCATAAATATTATTTCAACATTTGTGGCTTTAGCATCATCTAAAAATCAATAATAGATTTTATATAGTTTAAAGGTAATTAATTTTTACTCAAGGAAAATGATAAAATGCACAAAATGATGATATGCACATAATGATACCTGAGTTTTGTAATAACTCTCTAAAAACTACAAATTCAGCAGAGTATCTAATAATAAAAGGTATTTTTATTAAGTATTTAATGAAGGCTGAAAAAGGTAGATAATTAAAAACTAACTACCTTGCTAATATTTTATCAATCAAGTGCCTCTGATTGACTTCGACTCTCTCTTCACCAGTTTCATTGGAAAGCACTTCCTGACGAAGTTTGTCTAAAGACATGCTTAAAAAGATGAAAATTCAAATTAAAAATAAACCAAGAAAAATTCGTCATTTTTGATTTCGTATTTATAACAAAAAATTTTGGTCATTGAAAACTTTTGGAAAATCAAACGGTGATCACTGGTATGAAGGGATTGTCCGAGCTAACCAAGTTTGGAAACTATCAACAGACTTTTTGCAAAATATTTCCCAAATTTGGTTAGCACAAACAACTCCCGCTTTATAATAATACGCTGAATAGTAGAATAAAAAATATGCATTGCATGTACATTATTATATTATTTTAGCAATTGCCATATTAATATTTCAGCCACAAACCTTAATTGTATACTTTTTGTTCCAAATCTGACACATAGGATTTCTTCTAGAAAAGATTAGACTCGGAAATTAATTACCTCTTTTTTGGTTATTACAACCGATGATCCCTTGCCCTATTTGTCAAATTTTATTATTTTTTGCCATTTTCTCTGAACTTTATAATAAAAGAAACTGTTGATATTTCTGTATGCCTGGTAGTTTCTTAAAGCAAATTCCCAAAATAGACTTGATATCCAAATATTGAAAACCTTTCCATCTAAGTTTTATTTAATCCTGCTGGACTAGATCTTTTCACCACATCTATACATGAAGTCAAAACTATTTCAACCATTTGCAGATCTGGTCAAAATAGGGTTGAAATAAGGTCGAAACTGATTTTTACTATGTAGTTGCCTCAAGTCGAAATATTTCGACTTTGGTGTTTTAATTTCGACTTCATGTATAGTAATGACTAATGAATATCGATCTTTGTAAGCTTGTGTATGATGTTTCCAACAGGCTAGGCCTGTAAAATCAATCCAATAGAATTATCAATGAAAATGGCAAGATAATTAGTGTCAAAGTACATGTTACTGTTGAGTGTATCAACCCATCATGCATGTCATTTAAGTGTGAAAGCCTCAGGATTCTCATTCAGCAACTGCAATTGCTGGTACAGTCCCAGGTGAAAGTAATGGCGTGAATATTTGAATTACTTATTCAGGCATAATACCATAAAGCGTTCATTTATAATGTTTATTTGTGAGTCGCATAAATATAGTAACCATAAAAGTAAATAAATAAATAATGATCGTCATCAGTGTTTTTTGTTTACCAGTCAGACAAGATTTCACGCGATCGACATGTCTACTACTACTGTCATAGCTATGTACCTTATAGTTGGAGTTGATAATTTGTTGTGACACACACTGTAGGACCGCCACCGAAATGAAAGCTATTTTAGAAGAAAAATACCAAGATCTCGAAGTTAGTGAGGGGACTGTTCGCCGTGAGCTTTCCAACCTCGGTTATGTTGCTACTCTTCCCAGAAAAGTTCCTCTTCTAACAGAACAAGCAAAGATTAACCGCTTGTCATGGGCAC